TGCCCCAAGTGATTTTTTTTGCTGTTCTGTTTCCCTGGGTAAAAAAAGTCCTTTAAGGGAAACAATTTGCTTATGTGGAGGAGATAAAACAAAAAATGGCAAAAGCGCTAAAAGGCATGGAAATTGATGAGTTCAAAAACTGTTTTAGCAGGGAGTGGTGGCTCATGCCTCTAATTCCAGCACTGTAGGAGGTGGAGGCAAGATTGCCTGAGTTCGTGGGTTTGAGACCAGTCTGGGCAACTTGGCAAGACCTCGTCTCTTCAATAAATAAAAAAAATTAGCTGGGCGTGGTGGTGCACACCTGTAGTTCCAGCTATTTGGAAGACAGAAGCAGAAAGATCACCTGAACAGGTTGAGGCTGCAGTGGCCGTGAGCATGGCAGAGTGAGACTCTGACTCAAAAAAGAAAGAAAGGAAGGAAGAAAGTGTTTTGAGCAGTGGAAAAAGTGCCTTGATAGGTGTATTTTATCAAACAGAGAGTACGTTGAAGGTGACTGAAGTTTAAAAGTGTAAGAATAAATACACATTTGTTTATAAATAAATGCTGGGGTTTTTTGGGTCTCCCCTTGTATAATGTGCTTATGGGCTAAGGAATAAAGTTGGGCAAATACCAGGAGGTTTTTAAGAGAGAAGAAAGAAGCAATAGAAAACAGAGATAGAAAGGAACTAATGCCATACTAATTTAAAGAGGTATGATATTAGGTTCCTTGGTGACAATCAGAAAGAAGGACATTAACTTTTTCAGGGCACTGAGTGATTATAGTATACTTCTGTCTTTCTATGTTCTATTTTGAAAATGTCCTTGGTTTGTCTAAGCATCTTACTAGTCATTGCCAGTTTTGAGGTGAAAGAGAAAATGTTAGACTGTGAGTACAGATGGTAATAATTACATGAGAATAGAAGAAGTAGCTAGTGTGGCGTCCTTTCACAAATGATTAGAGGAGACTTGAATGCTGAGTGTCGAGTGAGGCAGAGAAGACCTTCGACCTGGTGTATCCTAATATGAGTTTGCATGTCACAGATTGGAGATTGATGGGTAAATAGGGATGTTGAAAGTGAGAAAATCCAGCCCAAGCCAGCTAGAGCCCAAAATGTCATGTATTGTTTCAGTAACAGAAAAATCCAGGGTAAAACTAGATTCAGGAGCTTAAGCTTGATTATCCAGTGTGGTTCCTTTCCACCTCTTGGCTCTGTCGTTGGCTGCGTTGGCTTCATTTCCAGGTTGTGGGGGAAACTGGCCCCAATCAGCAGGATCCCAAATCCTACATCCCTGTGCTTAGAAGAAGTCTCAGAACTGTGTCTTCTTGGCTTTGATTACCCCGCCTGAATCACCTGCCTATCCCTGTGCGTATTTTGGACTCGAGAATCACATTATAAGTATCTTTGTGCCCTCAGTGATTAGCACAGGGCTGTACATGTTGTATAGTAGGTACTCAGTATACAAATGTTTGTTAGGCCCAACGACGGGCTGCTCTTCTGAAAGCAACCATTTTGCATTGTAAAAGCTACTCTAATAGAGTCCAGATCTTAATGCTGATTTTTTTTTCTTTTGCAGAATTAGGTGACTTGTTTGATAGGTTAAATATGATGACTAGAATTCAGGAACCTCAGACTTTGTGCCTGTGTTATCAGGACTCTACAAAACTTCATAGTATAATTCAGGAAATAAGAAGCAAGAAAATAACCTAAATTTTATTTTATCTTTCTGTGATAAGAGGCCTATTAAGAGATAAGAGATCTATTGACAGAAACAGTTTTAATTTCCTTTGAGTCATACCACGCAGGAGTAGGAGGTGAGGAGAACGTAGATGATGGTTGAAAATGAGAGGATTTGAATTTTGGAGAGAAGAGGAGATGTGATGCTGAAATGGCTCTTTTCCACTTGTGATGCCATGTGAATTATGCGCATTACAATCTTTAAACATATGTTGTTTGAAATTCATTTCATAGAAGAGTTGAAAATAAGTAGTCTGATGGAGCATGTAAATTTTTAGTAAATCTAATAAGAGAAAAAGTAACCTGAAATAGATTTAAGACTTAGGTGCTGTGCTGATTAACTAATACCTCCTCTTCTGAGTTTAATAAACAATAAAGGGAATTCCAAAGATTAGATTATTGGTATGATAGAGGAAAGTGTACCTAGTTACTGTAAAAATGAAACTACATAGCACTTGTGTAATTACGCCTGTCTTCTAATGGGAACTTAATTTTCAAAACTTTTTTATCATCTTTAAATGCCACCGAATGCCAACTATGTCCTACCAACTTTTCTTACAGCATGAAAAGATGAAAGCAAAGGCGATGCAATTATCAATGATGTCACAGAATTGGAGGCATTTCCAATCACGCTTGTTTGCTCATTTTGCATAATCTCAGAACTCACTGATGTGGACCAATTTTAAATGAATTTACTGACTTCAACACAAGATCTTGGAGCTCTAATTGCCTAGGAAACTGTAAGAATGCGGCATTTGAGCTCATTGGTCCTGACATTAAAAGATGCTGTTTATTATTTAAAGTAATCGAGAGAACTGTAGTGTCATTTAAATAAATGTGGTTTATCAAAATAATGTGAAACTTTTGGGAGACTCATAATTACGAAGTTTTATGACATTTTTGTCATTGTGCACGGGTAAAATATCTGCATGCTTGGAAATGCGTGGCATAGTTGATCTAGCGTATCATCCAAGAGGTAGACGTGTGATTTGTGAGAGTAGAATGTAAGAGGTGTGGTTTTGGGGGAGAGAGTCCAGAATCCAAATCCTGCCTGGCCACTTACTTAGCTGAGTCACATTGTGTATGTTCACTAACCTGTCTGTGCCTTAGTTTCCTCAGCTATAAAATGGGGCTAATGATACTCCTGTCTTCTTCACAGAGATGTTGTGAAGATTAAATGAATATAAACAACATTATAAATGATGAAAACAGCACCATATAGGCTGTGATTACTTTTGGAAGGTCATTGCAATTTTTTCTTTAGAATTTTTTTTCTTAAAATGCAGTATCAGAATATGAAGAAAGCAGATGAGAAAGCTCATGTCGATAGCATTGAAGAGTTCAGTAATTAACTCCTAATTACAATGTGGCCTTTTGTATGTCCACTCCAGGGTACACCTCTCATACTACTCCTGACATTTTAGGATGGTATTTTTTAAAGTACAGCACAAGCGTCGGTTGTATCAGACTCATAAAGCTACTTGTTAAATGCCTATTCCTGGGCCATGCCCTAGACCCACTGGATCAGAAGTGCTGGGAGTGGGGATGAGCATCTTAACAAATACTCGAGGCAATTCTTACACAGGGCGTAGTTAGAGAACCCTTCTTGGGTCTTCATGATTTCCTCCTTCTCGTGCTGCAATCTCACTTTCACACTTGCTCACTTTGAACTTCGGATGTCTTCTTCTTTCTCTCCACTCAAGGTTCTGTCTCATCTCCTGTTCAAGGACTTGAAATTTTTCTTTCAAAATCACAATGAACCAAAGTTGATCTTTTCTTCCACACCCAAGGCCTAGGTTGCTACCTTCGCACTCCTCTGTGTTGTCATTTGTTCATTTCTTTCCCTTTGTTTGTCATACGTGGTATGTGAAATCATTTCGGCTTCAGAATTTCTTAGAAGGTCGTCTTTACTTGGGTTTCCTGTGTCAACCATACTTTACTTTTTTCTTTCCTTTCATCTTTTTCATTTTCTTTCCTTCCCAGGAACATTCCTGGATTAAACATCAAGGAAGAATTTGCAGTTGGTGAAGGAAGACTTTTATTTCTTCCAAATTCCTTAGCCTGATGGCAGACTTGCTTAGAGAGAAGAGACAGATGCAAAAAGTCTGAATCCTTCTGAATCTGTCCCCATTGAATTATGTCCCTTTTCAGGACTCTGAACTCTGCATCCCCATTTATGGATTTTGCTATCAGAAATGTTTGAGACGTCATCGAGCAACTTCAGACTATGTTGTTTGACTATACTTGACAGGGAAAATTGCATTTAAGCTGTAAAATAGGGCGCTCATGAACTCACGTATTTGGTCTTCCAAAGTATACAGCCCTGTGTAACCATGTGGACATACCACACACATGACTGTTTTATTACTTCTCGGCCACGGACAAGATTAATAGGAAGCGTTTGACTCATAGAGTACGGAATGCAGCTCCCTTTTAAAACACATGAACTTGTTATGTTTGTGTGACTGGCCACATAGATCCACTGAATCTTAATGATCCATGAGAGAAATTGTTCACATTTCTAGAGGTACATCTGCATTACAAAACAACAGTGCTTTCAAGAGACAACTGCATGGTTGTGCTTTTGAAAGTGCTCCAATCCCACAGTGCTGAAAGTAGAAACAATATTGACGTGTTTATACACACGTAGTAAGAAGAAAGCAGTAGACGTTGTGGAATAGAAGGGAATATACACTATGCCAAATTTGTTTATTTTAAAGCAACATGGCCATTTTCTAAGAAGTGGCATTAGAATTTTAGCCAGTAAAATGGAAGAAATTTAAGTCTTGAAAATTTACCTCTTCTATGAATTGCCTTGCAATAACTAAAATTTTAAAAATTCTCCTGCAAGACTAATTTTTAAGGAAAAAGAAAACACCAGTCAAGAAATCAATTTATTGCTAAAGCTTTAACTTAAAAAGTTTTAATAGTTTCATTTGGGAAAAGTGGGCTTTAATTGAACTTTCCTGTTGCTGCTGGAATTTCTTAAAGTGTGGATGTCAATAAATGTTTTACAGACTAAATTTAATAAATAAATTTAACTTATAGTTGCCTTGTTATAGAAGCTAAAAAACAAAATGTGCTAAAGTAGTAAAAAGAGAACCATAGACTAGATTGTGAATTTTCTGTCAACACACATTTGAGTTGGATGGCTTAATATTTGATGTTTTTATATGTCTTAGCTGTTTACTGTCCAACTCTTCATGGTGTTTATATCTGTAGACAACACAATCTAATGAAAATGTATTACATATGTTTTGCAAATACATTTTTTCTTTTAGGGATGCCCTCTGCATCTTTATTAGTAAACCTTCTTTCAACTTTACTCATCACGTTTGTGTTTGGAGAAACGGAAATAAGATTCGGTGGACAAACAGAATTTGTCGTTAATGAAACAAGTACAACAGTCATTCGTCTCATAATCGAAAGGATAGGAGAGCCAGCAAATGTTACTGCGATTGTATCGGTAAGAAATTATTGTAGTTCTATTTTTCCTAAAATGTATATGCAATTTCTTAGTTTCAATGGCAAGAATTTCTCTCTTTTTTTTTTTTAACTGTTTGAGATTTTGAGTTGTTTCATTATGATAAATGATTTGTAAATAACACAATTTCATTTATGTTTCTTATGGGCTTATGAAGGGCTCCAAGGTAGCCAAGTGCATTGAACAATACTGTTTTAAAGATTTAGACTGATTGTTTTAAAGTGTTTACGTGTTTATTTTAACACCAGAATATTTTATTTTGGGTAATTTGGATTGTAGCTATTTCTGCTCAGACATACTGTTGTAGGGTGGTGTTGAGAAGATACATGGGTTTTTAAATGTAAAAAAATAGCAGCAGGAAAAAAATCTTTAATTATGGTGGAGAATTCTTTTTGTGGGAGAAATTAAATGTATGTGTATTTTTTTTTTTTTGAGTTGCAATCTCTGTCTCCCAAGTTGGAGTGCAGCGACAGGATCACAGCTCACTGCAGCTTGACCTCCTAGACTCAGGCTATCCTTCCGCCTCAAATTCCTGAGTAGCTGGGACTAGAGGTGCACATTACAGCTCCCAGCTAATCTTTGGACTTTTTTGTAGAGACGGGACTCACTATGTTGCTTGAACTGGTCTCGAACTCCTGGGTTCAAATAATCCTCCTGCCGTGGTCTCCCAAAGTGCTGATTTTAAGTATGAGCCACCATGTCTGGCCTAGAAATTAAGTATATTAACTTAAATAGAAGTTAGGTAAGATTTATCAAACTATTCATCTGTTTCACATGCAGCTTAATTATTGGTTGGATTGTGTGTGCATGTGTCTGTGCTTATTTTCATTTTTTAAATTTATTTATTTAGAATAGGAGTCTTACTCTGTTGCCCAGGCTGGAGTGCAGTGGCATGCTCACGGCCACTGCAGCCTTAGCCCACTGGGCTCAGGCAGTCCTTCCATCTCAGCCTTCCGGGTAGCTGAAACTACAGGCACGCACCACCACACCAGGCTAATTTTTAAAACTTATTTATTGTATAGACGAGGCTTGCCAAGTTGCCCAGGCTGGTCTCCAACCCCTGGACTCAGGCAATCCTCTTGTCTCCACCTCCCAAAGTGCTGGGATTACATGCATGAGCCACCACACTTGACTATATGTGTTTATTTTTAACCAGAAAGTACTGTCAAATGACCACTAGAGCTATTGCTATATTTGAGACTCAAAGTACTTAATTTTTGTCCACAAAAATAAACTTTTAAGGAATAGAATGTATTGCACTTTATGAAATGATGAAAAACTACCTATGAACAAATCCAATATTGTAACTTTGTGCACTGCTTCTAGTTTTTATTTGATGACATACATGTATACATCTATTAAATTTATATTTAGTTTGAGTATACGTTATATTTGATCATCTTTTTCATATAATCTTGATTGTATCCTAGAAGTTTTTTCAGGATGCTCTATTATTTTCAGAACTTTTCTTAATAGTGTTGTCATCACTTCCTTATTATTCTTCAACTGCTTTTCACCCTGGTTACTTCTAATTTTTGCTGGTATGAGTGTTATTCTGATGAAACCGGTTACATATATGTTGAAGTTTTCACATTTTGGATTGTTAAATGATTTCCCTAGGTTGGATTCCTGTGTTTTTCTGTTTGTTTCAATGGCTCTGATAATTCCTTCTAAAGTTTGTTCTGCTTTCTATAGTAAGGTATAAATTTCCCAACACCCTTGATTTCCCAAGTATTTAAAACTTTATTTTTATAAGTGAGAACTGAAAATTGACTAAAATTTTCCTATACGTTTAAAAAAATTTGTATTAAATCATGTATTGTTTTCTAGTAGCTAAATGATTCACTCAGAGCTTGCTGAGAATCTTATTAACAAGGCTGCTTTTACAGAGTTAGATCTTTAAAAGTTAAGGAAAATTTTACAAAGACTAAGAAGTTTTCATAAAACTTCTTAGCATGCTAAAAAATTGGCTCTTTATTGGAGTTGTGAGAGAATATAAATATAATTTCAGGTTGAAAGTTAGGGAAAGAGCAATTTTTTTTAAATGGATGGGGAAATAATAGATTTTTCTGACAGTTTTGGGGAGGTTACTTTAACCTCGCTCACCTCCCCAACGTTTACTATTGATATGTAATAGTTGTACATATTTTGGGGGCCTATGTGTTATTTTGATTCCTGCATGCAGTGCATAATGATCACATCAGGGTAACTGGATCCCATCACCTCAAACACTCATCTTTTCTTTGCAGTTTCTCTCTTCCAGTTATTTTGAAATATACAATGCATCGTTGTTAACTATAATTTCCCTGCAGTACTATTGCATACTGGAATGTATTCCTTCTATCTGGTTGTATTTTTGGCTCTCCTTAACTGACTTTTCTTCATTTCCCCCTTCCCTACCCAGCCTCTAGTAACCACTGTTCTACTCTCTTCCTCCCCGAGGTCCACTTTTTGAGTGCCCACATATGAATGACGACATTGTGATACCCGTCTTTCTGTGCTTGGCTTATTTCACTTAACACTGTGACCTCCAATTACATCCATGTTGCTGCAGATGAAAATATTTCATTCTTTTTTATGGCTGAAGAATATTCTGTTGTGTGTGGATACCATTTCTTGTGAGAGTTTTAGCTATAGTCTGTCTTCTCGTTAGGTTTGCTGTAGTCCACTCTAGATCAATGAAGAGAAAAAAATTCACATTATTACTTTTCAATGTAATTATTACTTTTCTGGGCAATATTTCTTTTTCTTTCACAGCAAAAACAAATGATTATACAGATTCACTTCTTATTATGTTTATATGTCTGAGGATGACTTTGACCAGTTAAATATTTATGATTTATGTTTGCATACATTATGTCTATAAACATCAGTGCCACTTGATTTATCCTTTTCCTCTTGATTGCTCTAGTTAGCATAAGTTTTGCTTGTCCTAATACTGTGTTAAATAAGACTGATCAATATTTTGCATTTAATAGCTGTATGGAGAAGACACTGGTGACTTTTTTGACACATATGCTGCAACTTTTATACCTGCTGGAGAAACAAATAGAACAGTGTACATAGCAGTATGTGATGATGACTTGCCAGAACCTGATGAAACTTTTATTTTTCACTTAACATTGCAGGTAAGAGTCCTCCTTTAAGCCTTAAACTTATACAAATCTTGTACTTTTTTTGAAGTCTCACTCTGTCGCCAAGGCTGGAGTGCAGTGGCTCATGGCCACCCCAGTGTCAACCTGCTGGGCTCCGATGATCTGTCCACCTCAGCTTTCCAAGTTGCTGGAACTACAGGCATGCGCTACCACACCCGGTTAATTTTTGATTTATTGTAGAGATGAGGTCTCGCAAAGTTACCCTGGGCTGGTCTGGAACCTGTGGCCTCAGGCAATCCACTTGCCTTGGCCTCCGAAAGTGCTGGGATTATAGGCTGTGCCACCAAGCCTGGCCTATTTTTAAAAATTTCTCTAGCGCTAGGCCAGTTCAGGTGACTTGTAGTGGCTTTCATAGAAGCCAGAACAGGCAACCTCTTTGGCAGTTCCACAGTTTGGTTATTCCTCAGACAATCTTATTGAGAAGATTCTACAGCTGGTTTTCAGATCCATTCAGCTTACTGAGGAATTGCCATGATGGTTGTTCCAGAAAACCTTGTCTACCTCTCTGGCCCTTTTTTTTTTGTTCCTTCCCTGCTACCAGATGCACAAAGAATGATCATGACTACTGATTTCAAAGGAGAAAGGCACAAAATGTGGGTGTGGTAGTGGGAGGTCCCTGTGCCTTAGAATAAATTCAGAGGACCCCTGGGAAGACACTTGAGTGGCCTAAGGTGTAATTGTACTTCATGACTTGATCTATTAGGCTGAGTCCATGACTGCTAACATCATTCTACCTGATTTTTTTTCTGAAGAGTATTAAGAATTTTTTTAGAACAATTGTGTCAGTATGATTAAAATGTTTATGAAAATGATACTTGAAACAGTTATGTTTTGTTTTTGTAAATCACTCTTTTTTCATTTTCTTTTCTGTTGCTACTGAATATCAGCAGAAATGTTGTAGAAAGTTCTCTACTTTTACAAAAATTAGCTTTAATTTTTTTTTTTTTTGAGTTGGAGTCTCACTCTGTTGCCCAGACTGGAGTGCAGTGGCCGCTTCAGGCCACTGCAGCCTCGACCTGCTGGGCTCTGGTGATCCTTCCGCCTCAGCCTTCTGAGTAGCCGGAATTATAGGCATGCGCTACCATGCCCGGCTGGTTTTTTGATTTATTGTAGAGATGAGGTCTCGCTGCCCAGGTGGGTCTTGAACCCGTGGACTCAGGCAATCCACTCACCTCAGCCTCCCAAAGGCACGGGATTACAGGCTGAGCCACCAAGCCCGGCTAGCTTTAGTATTTTATCTTTAATTTGCCTCTGTGATTTATAGAATAGCTAATTCTCAAGTTTCAGCACTTTCTATAGCATTAAAAAATCGTATTTGAATAGAATTTTATACTGTGTTCAATTCTGTTATATTACTGTAATAAAACAGTAATTATAATTTCTAATACAGTATCTATAGTTATGCTATTGCATATTATTAATAGTTAATGATTAATGGTTTTCAAATCTTTTTGAAGAATTTTCATATGGAGATTCTTTACCATTTTGCCTTAATTTGAATGTACTTTTGTAATTAGTGCAATAAGTATTTTTATTCATATTTTGAATAGCTACTTGAAGACAGAAATACTATTAAAGCGATGTTTTTTTTCTCTAATGATGATTTTGTTTTGGGGCTTGTCTTTTATTTTAGAAACCTTCTGCAAATGTGAAGCTTGGATGGCCAAGGACTGTTACTGTGACAATATTATCAAATGACAATGCATTTGGAATTATTTCATTTAACATGGTATGGTTATAATTTGATGATTCTTATAGTTGCTAGATAACAACAGCGTATACTTTTTTATTATTTATTTTCCATGATGTTAGCTGGCATCATCCTGTCTTTTGATATTTAGGTAACATTTGCTGTAATTCCGCCTGCTCCGTGTTCTATAGACTGTTCATTTGCTCTGCCTGAGACTTTGGTGGATTGAGGAGGCATGTATGATTATTGTCTTCTCTTGTCCTGGTCTCTTTCTGCTCATCCTTCTACCCGATTTCGTTGTCACCTCCCTTGGCTGGTCTTTAACTCTGGTGTGCAACCCAGTGCCTTTTGCTTGATTTCCCCAAACGCCACTTAAAGAAACGGCGTTGCCTGTTTGCCAGACTTTTCTGAAAGTTTGGAGTGACTGGAAGATGAGACAGCATACTGAAAGAATACTAAAAAACCCTGCAGTGAATTTAGGGAGCTGAGATACAGGGAATAGCCGACATCATAGCTCTTCAAAATTCTGTAGTCAGTCCCATCCTTGAGCTTTTCTTATTAACTAACATTTTCCGAAGACTGAAATTCCATCTCAACACTCTCAGTTTTGCTCAACAGTTTATTTTCTTGCCCTTAACACCAAATTCCTGTGGCTCTAGCCAGTCCTATTTTCAGAGGGTTTTATCTTTAGAAAACAACATACAAGACAGGCCCCTCTTTGAGAATTATTGTTTCCAGCTCTTAAGATAAAACAAAAGTTATCTCCAGTACAATTGGATTTGGCCACTAAGTTCTTGACCACAATAACCTTCCTGATTTGAATCATGCTAATAATTGTTATTAATAAATAAGATGTGATACATTCCAGCTTCTTATTTATGTTTAGGTGGTTACCACAGTTGGTTGCATTGCATGTCATTTTTGTAGTACTATAAAATATCTTTGAAATAAGGTGGGCTATAGGTAAATATGATCTTTAAGTTGCAGTATCTTCATTAAAAAGAGTATTTGGCTAACCTCAATTTAGTAGCTCTTTGATAACCTCCATTGTATTGTCACTTACAAACATTAATTAAATTAATTACTCCATCTATCATTTCTATTTGAATGATAGGGAATTATTGATGAAGCAGGCTCCCTAATTGCTTAATTTCTATCCATTTGACTTTCCTGCTATACTCACTTCTAGCTCACCACTCCTGACCTCTTACTGATTTGTTTAAATTTTTTTGACATTGAATACATCTTGGCCTCTGGGAATGAATTTTAGTCCTTGGCATGGGCCCCGGGTCCCTGATTAGTACTGATGGGGTCTCAGTGTTGCTAGGTAGCCTTGGACAGCCTCTGAGGGGCACCTGCCACCCCATCTTTAAAATTAAACAAGTGACTATTAGCTTACACTGGTGTCCAATGGGTTGGCTTTGATTTCCAGCCTTGAGGATTGGTAATGATAATGATATTGACAATGAGGATATTAGTCAGTATTTACTGAGACCTCAGTATGTGTCAGGTAATAGGATGAGCACTTGATGTGATTGATCTCTTAGAGACTTCATCACAACCCTTCGAGTCAGGCATTCCTAACCACAATGACAGAAGGGGACACTGAGACTCAGTGTCACCCTGAGAGGTGGCACTGCTGCCCTTGCCACTGTGCACTTAGCTGTTCCTGTTCCTGTTCCTCCTCTTCTACCTTGAGTTTCAACCAGCCAAACCAGCACATTTCACTTGAAATCCTTACTCTTTCTCCTCCTGTAGTGATCGTGTCATTGGCAGTGTCTGCTTTTTAGGTCATTGGCAGTGTCTGCTTTTTAATGACATACTAGCTGATGAGAGCAGAGTGGTTGGGAGCAAGGCCGAGTGGTGACCTTAGTGACCTGCCAACTGGTCTGGAGGTTTAACCCATTTCTGTGACCTCTTGGTCTTCTCTGAGCATCTCAGTTTGCCTTTCAACGAGATAACCTTTGAGATGCGTCAGAGAACACTAGTTGGTGGTAGAACAAGGACGCGAACCCCCAGCTTTTGCCTGGCTATCTATATGTTCTTTTTACACTATTACTTTGAAGTTTTTCAGCATTGTGTTTGCCGCAGTTCACTGATGCTGGGGAAATAGCACATTCTTACAGGGGCGTGTGGATTGACTTGTCTGTGGGGATTTAGTGTTTCCAGGGAACAGTTCTGACCTCCTCCCTCTGACTGCTCAATATTTGCTCTCCTCGTAGCCTTCCTCAGTCACAGTGAGCGAGCCCAGGGGCAGGAATGAATCTGTGCCTCTCACTCTCATCAGGGAAAAGGGGACCTATGGGATGGTCACTGTGACTTTTGAGGTATGTTGACTCTGAAATCAATTTAAGTGGTAACACTTTGGAGTTCATACCCAATGGCTACAATTTTTAAAAAATCAAGTGCCCTTTGTATCATAAACATGACAGAATAAAATTAAAATTCACACTTTTGTTTTCTGGTACATTTCATGATTAATATTAACATGTTTTCCTTCCTGCTTGAGTATACCATGCTTATACAAAACACAATGTTATCATTTTAGATATGTTGTAATAACAAGTTACAAGTAGAAAAGTGATAATGTGAATTCTATAAAATTTATAAAACCTTTTGGCAAACCTTTTCACAGATGTGTGTGTGTGTGTGTGTGTGTGTGTGTGTGTGTGTGTGTCAAGGCCTCTCTGTGTCACCCAGGCTGGAGTGCAGAGGCACAATCATAGCTCACTGCAGCCTAGAACTCCTGGGCTCCAGTGATCCTTCCCCTGCAGCTTCCCCAGTAGCTAGGACTACAGGTGTGCATCCCCACACCTAGCTAATTTCTAAATTTGTTTTTTGTAGAGACAGTCTCGTTATGTTGCCCAGGCTGGTCTTGAACTCCAACTCCGCCTTAAGGGGTCCTCCCACACTGGCCTCCCAAAATGCTGGGATTATAGGAGTGAGCTATCATCCCTGGCCTCAAGGATATACATTTTAAAAATAACTCACCAAATACACAATGTCTTGCACGTTCTGCAAAGGAAGTCTTAAGCAATTTTTCATTTACTTAGGAATATGTGTTTAGATAATAAATTTTAAAAATATTTCTGACAACAAATATAGGAAAAAATAGAAATAATCAGTGGTAGAAAGGATACAGATTCCAGGTTATAGTGTTTTCACCTTATCTTATGGATGTCTAAAATGATTTGATTGGGTTTGTTGCTTTGTTTTTGTTTAAGTAATTACAGGTAGCATTTGTGGAACACACAGACTGTTGTAAGTGCTTTGCACCGATTATTGCTGCATATAAATAGCAACCCTCTTCAACACTCAGTCTTTCTCATGTTCTTCTTAAGTTTTTCTCCATAATATTTATCATCATCTGATGCATATTCTTTTTTTTTATTTATCATTTGCTCCCTTTCATTAAATGTAAGGTCCATGTGGAAGGGAATTTACTTTGTTCACTGCTATAGCCTTAGTAGCTAAAAAAGGTCAGGGCATGAAGTACTCAAGAAATACTTTTTTTTTTGAATCAGGGTCTCACTCTGTCACCCAAGGCTGCCATGTAGTGGCACGATCATGCCTCACTGCAGCCTCGACCTCCTGAGCTCAAGTGACCTCCCACCTCAGCCTCCTGAGTAGCTGGAATTACAAGCAGGAGCCACCAGGCCTAGCTAATATTTTGATTTTTTGTAGAGATGTGGTCTTGCTATGTTGCCCAGGCTAGTCTCAAACTCCTGCCCTCAAACAGTCTTCCCACCTCTCAAAGTGCTGGGTTAACAGGTTTGACTCCCCACACCTGGCCAAGAAATACTTTTTAAAATGAATGATTTTATTCATTCTTCACTTCTTCATATCCAGCCTGTGAATAGGAAAACATGGGTATTTGATTCCATTACCTGAGGGAATTTGTTAAACTCGAACACCCTTTCTTCCCCTTCAGATTTTCTTTCCCCTTCAGATTTGATATAATGGTTGAGAAAAAATAGCTCTGAGAAATCACATGGTTTAATGCATTTATATCCAAGATCAAGAATTACATCATAGGCCCTGACTGTTCATTAGAAAGGCAGACTTAAGTGCAAGTTAGTATAATTTTTGCAAAACATCTTTAAGTAAATTTCAGATTTTTGTCAGCTGACATCACAGTAATGCTTTCTCCGTCTTGTGCAATGTGTTGTATTATTGATGGCACTGTGCGTTTCTTTGCAGGTAGAGGGAGGCCCAAATCCCCCTGAAGAAGATTTAAGTCCAGTCAAAGGAAACATCACCTTTCCCCCTGGCAGAGCCACAGTAATTTATAACTTGACCGTACTCGATGATGAGGTTGGATGATGTTCAATATTTACGTGGGGCAAGGACTCTGTGTTACAGACATGTTGGAGAACTTTATGTCAAGTATTAAATTGTGTCCGGTATTTTACATTACTCAAGAATATTATCCTGTGTAAAAGCTAACGTATTTTGGACAATCATACTTTACATATGAATAGCTGACTATTTTGGAATATACCTTATTACTACTTACCTTACTAAATTCACAATAAATGGTACATCACAAAATAGAAAAATTTGAGCTTTTGATATACCCCGATGATTGGTTTTTGTTAGTGATTTCAGTTTTGAGCCAGAACAGTACTAACCTAGAATAACTATTTTTACTATAAAAACCAAGAAAATTCTACTGCAATCAATGTTCTTTTGCTTGGATATTTTAAGTACTCACATTCATTGGAAAGTTTTAAAAATTATTTTCACATTTCATGGTGAAACTACCAAGGATTAAGATACATGACACAGCTGGTCACAGTGGCTTGCACCTATAGCCCTTTGGGAGGCCAAGGCAGGAGAATCGCTTGAGGCTAGAAGTTCAAGACCAGCTTGGGCAATATAGCGAGACCTTATCTGTACAAAAAATTAGAAAAAAAGGAAAAGAAAGAAAAAAGATACATGACACAACACATGTTCCCCCCATGTGCTAAACAAGAGACAATATTTCTTTTTATAAAAGAAAACTAAGTATTGCCAGGAAAGAAAACAAACAAACAAAAGGAAGTAGCTTGGAATTTGTAACTCTCCCTCTACCATTCTAAAAAAATTCTGAAACCAAATGACAAGAAATCCCAGGAGAAGAAAAATAGTGCATTAGAAGACATTATTGGAAAAGAGTATTTCTCTTGAAAAATAAAATTGGTAACATTGATAACTTTAGTTCTTCTGGTTGTGGAAGCAAGCTCAAATTTGTATTTTCAGATCTCAAAACATTGAAAAGGATATAGGCTGACAAAATTATTAATTATTCATGTTAATTGTCAATTTAAAAGATCATCAGTCAAATAACATTTTATTTTTTGAGATAAATAGCTTTACTTTTAATATGCTATTCATGGAGGTCAAAAGATGTGTTTTTTATTTTCATTTATAAAGCAGAATTTATGGTGAATGAAAAGCACGGTGGAGATTAACTCCAGGGTTTCTGTGCAGCTGCAAAAAAAAAGAAAAGGGAAAGGAAAAGAAAGAAAGAAAGAAAAGATTCTACTTTAACAATGTCAATATTTTGCCTAGTAGTAATTCTTATGGTTTGTTCTCCAGAGAGGCATGATTCGTATCTTGGAAATTATATGGTGGTGTCATATGTTTTAATTCTGAGTTAGAAGCAAAAATGATTCACATGTTTGGAAACTAATAGTTTTATGTGATATTTAATATGCCTACCAGATTCTTTGATATGATTAGACCTTGAATGCTGCTTCCAAGCCTAAGAAGTTGATAGCACTGATAGGAATTTATGTTCCTTTTTGCTATTTAATCTTTGGAGTTATCCAAAGACTGATTAAGGTCAAAAGACGTCATACCTGGACTCCATTACTTTTTGCCTAGATGTTATACCCGAACTCCATTACCTGCGTATACCATTGCTTTGTTCACTCTTATTTTCCTATCTACAATACATTATTTATCTTTGGAAAATATTTTCATAATTGGAGACTAAACAGGCCTCTCTTTGTACTCCCTCAGTTAAATAATTTTCATTTCTGTATAGTTATATTGAAACATGGTGACTTATTACACCTTAGTGTCTCTGCAGGTGTTTTGGCTATTGATGTTTGGTCCCTGTCTATATTCCTTTGACAGGTTCCAGAAAATGATGAAATATTTTTGATTCAACTGAAAAGTGTGGAAGGAGGAGCTGAAATCAACACCTCTAGGAATTCTGTGGAAATCATCATTAAGAAAAATGACAGTCCCGTGAGATTCATTCAGAGTGTTTACTTGGTTCCTGAGGAAGACCACATACTCATTGTCCCAGTGGTTCGTGGGAAGAACATCAGTGGACATCTGATTGGATCTGATGAATATGAAGTTTCCATCAGTTACGCTGTTGTAACTGGGAATTCCACAGCACATGCCCAGCAAAACCTGGACTTCATCGATCTTCAGCCAAACACAACTATTGTTTTCCCACCTTTTATTCATGAAGCTCACCTGAAATTTCAAATAGTTGATGACACCATACCAGAGATTGCTGAATCCTTTCACATTATGTTGCTAAAAGATACCTTACAGGGTGATGCTGTGCTAGTAAGCCCTTCAGTCGTACAAGTCACCATTAAGCCAAATGACAAACCTTATGGAGTCCTTTCTTTCAACAGCAACTTGTTTGAAAGGACAGTTGTAATTGATGAGGATACAACATCAAGGTATGATTTATGTTAAACGTGTTGCTACGATTATTTAATATGTTATTACATGATTTAATTTTTGTGGTGCTGGGTATGACAATGAACTGTTAGTGTCATTTTCTCTGCCTTGACTTCCCTGTTTTCATTTTTTTTTTTTTTTTTTTTTTTTTTTGAGTTGGAGTCTCACTCTGTCACCCAGACTGGAGTGCAGTGGCTGCTCCTGGCCACCGCAGCCTCAACCTGCTGGGCTCTGGCGATCCTTCCGCCTCAGCCTTCCAAGTAGCTGGAACTACAGGCGCGCGCTACCACGCCTGGCTAATTTTTGATTTATCGTAAAGATGAGGTCTCGCCAAGTTGCCCAGGTGGGTCACGAACCCATGGGCTCAGGCAATTCACTCACCTCAGCCTCCCAAAGGCGCGGGATTACAGGCTGAGCCACTGAGCCGGTCCTATTTTCATTCTTATTCTGAGTTGATTTAATTATGCAAATGAATTCAGATCCCATGGTTTCCTAGGACACATTGACACATTTACTCCTTCATAGTAAAAACAATTATTTTTTGTGATGTGGATTCTGCTTTACCCAGTGTCTGATACCCAACTTGACATTGGGAAAGACTCTCTAAGGGAAATGGTATATTATGCAACTATATATTTCTTTTACAAAATTTGCAGCTTTGAGGAAATTACAGTGGTTAGAAACGGTGGCACCCACGGGAATGTCTCTGTGAACTGGGTGCTGACACGGAACAGCAGTGACCTCTCACCGGTAACAGCAGATATCAGACCAAGTTCCGGAGTTCTCCATTTTGCACAAGGGCAGATGTTGGCCCTGATTCCTCTTATCGTCGTTGATGATGATCTTCCAGAAGAGGCGGAAGCTTTTCTCCTTCAGATTCTGCCTCACACGATACGAGGGGGCGCAGAAGTGAGCGAACCCGCAGAGGTAGGTCCCTGGTTGTGCTTTATTCTCATGAACATTCCCATGCTGTAGAAGAGCCAAAGAATTTGATGCTACAAATCAAATTTATGTTTAGTTTGATGTGACAGGAAGAAGACTGGCCTTGGGAATGATGGTTTTTCTTGGTCCATGTTGCTCCTTCAGCAAATAAATATTTTACTCTCTAAAAAACCCCACAAACTATGACTTAGGAAACTTTTCAGATCTGCTTTTGGTTCATCTTTTACTCTGTTGCATATAAAAAGTGATCATTTTTAGACATTTTATAGAAGTAAATATTAAAATCAGAATACCATGGAAATATTGAGTTTGATCATCTCAGATGTGAGAATTCTGCACTTTAATATTTTATTCCTTTATCTGCAGCTTTTGTTCTACATTCAGGATAGTGATGATGTTTATGGCCTAGTAACATTTTTTCCTATGGAAAACCAGAAGATTGAAAGCAGTCCAGGTGAACGATATTTATCCTTGAGTTTTACAAGACGGGGAGGAACTAAAGGAGATGTGAGAATGCTTTATTCTGCACTCTACATCCCCGCTGGAGCCGTGGACCCCTTGCGAGCAAGAGATGGCATCTTAAATGTATCCAGGAGAAATGGCCTCATTTTTCCTGAGCAAAAAACTCAAGTCACTACAAAATTACCAATAAGAAACGATGCATTTCTTCAAAATGGAGCCCACTTTCTAGTACAGGTACTATTGTATTGTATTGTACTGTAATTTTTGTATTGTATTGTATTGTATTTTTTGAGTCAGAGTCTCACTCTGTTGCCCAGACTGGAGTGCAGTGGCACAATCACAACTACCATAGCCTCAGTCTGCTGGACTCAGGCAATCATTCCACCTGAGCCTTCCAAGTAGCTGGGACTGCAGGCACGCGTCACCATGCTTGGCTAATTTTTTTTAATTTTTGATTTTTTATTGTAGAAACAAGGTCTTGCCATGTTGCCCAGGTTGGTCTTGAACTCCTGAGCTCAGGCAACCTCTTGCCTTGGTCTCTCAAAGGGCAGGGATTATAGGTGTGAGCCATCGCTCCCTCCGGCCTACTACACGTACTTTAATGATGAATCACAATTTTGGCTAAACTGCAAGTGTACTTATTTATGTGAGAGTTAACTAACTGTTATTTTGCCCTCATTTATATTTTGGATTTTACAATTTGTTACTAGAGGCTAGTTAGGGATCCAAAGCGAGACTATCTCCTCTCAAGGTATAAAAAGATAAACAAGACAAGGGTTCTACCATAGCTACTATTTTAATCAAGTGATATTAAAAGTATTTCAGACATGAAATGCAAGTCAGACTTTCATATGATGTCATAGAATAACTTACAAGCTGTTCTAGGGGAGGGTGTAAGATAGGAGACTCATCATTCTTTTGAGTTGATTTGGGAAAATGTGACATAGGTATGGGATTTATAGACTAAATATGTTTTTTCACAATGGAGATTGCAGGGAAAACATTTCAGAAATAAAAAAAAGCAACATGAAGAAAATCTTGTAGATACTTTAAAATAATATACTGAAAAATCTGTTTGTCTATTAATGATAGACAGACTCTCTGGACTTTCACTTCCTTAATAAGAAGAAATAAGGGCCCTATAACACATCCTATAACATATCATATTTTATTTCTTAACTTCTGTTCATCAAAACTTTATTTTTATTGCCAAATCTTAAAATATCTGCATTCACTTATGATGCTACTGTTATTTCTATGCATTGATTGCTTGATTCTGAAAATTAGAAAGTAATAAGGGGGCTTATCAAATTTTAATTAGCTAAATACATTTATTACAGAATCAGGTAGTATGAATGGATTGATAAAGAAAGAGCCAACGTCTTGTCACCATACGTTTTGCCACCTGAAGTCTATATAGCAAATGAAATATTATATTCCGCTAATTTCTTTGCATCATGCCACATTTAAGTGTTTTGTATTTTTGCCTAGGCTTTGTTTTATGGTTTATTGTTGCTTTCTCTGGAGTTTCTAGCTGTCCCCTTTTTATGTGACATCTTCACTGCATTACTGAGGTCTTCCAGCTGTCTTCCCTGAAACGCGCTAAATGAAAGTTTAGTTGAACTGACTGCTTTCTCTCCTTGTTTCACACCTGTATCTGGGATGTTTTTCACTGAACTTATGAATTTTCTCGTTGTCTTGCCTTTCTCTTCCTGGATTCTACTTTGGTTTTGTTGTCGTATATCTAACCCTAAACATGTGCTGAAATATGCAACTTTCTGAATTTTTGAGCCACTGAAAACGTGAAATTTCATATTCACATTGATATCTTCAGAAATTAAAAAAAAAAACTGGCTTTGTACAAAAACATGTCATAATCTGTTTGCTTTTTGAAGTTAATTCTATTAATATGGAAATGTATGTTGACCACCAGTTCACATTGGTAGTAGCATTCCCCCAATTTCAAGGCTCTCTGGATATAATTTGTGGAGTGGAGTTTCAGAATTCAGTGGAGATTTTTAGCTCTTTTGTTTTTGATGTCAGCGCTGTTGTTTGTCTTCTCTGCCATTGACATCTGCAGGATTTAGAACATTCTCAATATATATTTATGGGATTTTTTGAGTGTTCTTTTTTTATTTTCAGTTCTTCCTTCTGTCTGTCTCTAATTTTGCACAGGCTGCATCTCATATGAGATTCAAATTACTAAAACGAATGGAATGAGACAAAGATCTTATGCAGTTACTGTGTGCTTTTCTGGGAACCTGGTTTCCTGGCATGTCTGAAGTAGGTGCAGTGATGGGAGCTGAGTTTGAGAACTGATGATGCAGAGATGCAGTCTGGAGCGTATAGCACACTCATGGACACCACAGCCTTGACTTGCTGGGCTCAGACGATACTTCTTCAACTTTCAAAGTAGCTGGGACTACAGGCGTGTGCCACCATGCCTGGCTATTTTTTTTTTTTTTTTTTTTTTTATTGTGGAGGTGAAGTCTTGCCATGTTTCCCGGGCTGGTCTCAAGCAATCCTCTGGCCTGGGCGTCCCAAAGTGCTGGGATTACAGGCATGAGCCACCATGCCTGGCAAGCTTCCTAATTTCTTTTCTCACAATACCTCATTGTTTTTACTGTGGATTTTACTGTTTTTACTATGGATAGAGATCCTTATATCTATGCTTGTATCAATAACCTCTGTATTAATTGTAAATATTTGGGGAAAAGATCCAGTATTTATATCAAAGTAACTACAGAGAATTACTGTATAAACACATCTTTACTAAAAACTTTGCATGTTATCCTAGTTTTTTTCCATTAGTATTCTTTATGAGCATGGCATAATTTTTGATTCACGGGGTACACTTGCATATTTGTTAAATGGATGTATTGTGTAGTAATGGGAATTGGGTCTCCAGTGGTCTATTCCCCAAATAGTGAACGTTGTGCCCCATAGGTAATTGGCAGAATTTACTTTGGATAACATCTGAAAACTAAAAATAAGTTGAAGGGAGTAATATCTGAATTGTGACTCATCCTGAGTTAAAAAGTTGCACCATGAATTCCAGACTAAAGTCTTTATGTGTTTAGTTAAAAAACAAGGGTCTTACAGTCCAGACAGTTAATTTAACACTTGTTTGCGGTGGGGGGGGGGGCGTTATTAGTCACTGACACAGTTCCTTAAGGTTCAAAACAGCTGTGGGCTCTGGAAGGCCGGTTGGAATAGGAAAGTTGTGTAGTCTGTCTAGTACATAATGGATGAGCAACTCAAGAATAGGAAGCATCAGCCTCTGTTTGGAAAGTTGAATGAAACCAAAGAAAGGAGAATTCTTTAATAGCTCCTCACGCCTTGGTAACCCTTTCAGCTAAATACATTGGTCTGAGATACAGCTCTTGTCAGGCTTGGGTTTACTAATGTGCTGCCCCAGTTGCAAACTATCTGAAAGCAAAGAAGGATTCTTTATGAATGAATGGAGCAGTTTGATTTAGCAGATGCTTAAGGAACCCAGACAAAAAAAGGCTTATCGACTGGGAAATAAGCCACACAAAATTAGCATTTTCTTTTTCATCAGTTTATTTCATAACTTTCTATTTTAAAAAATATTTTTCAAAAATACTGTATCCAGAATTAATTCTATAACTTTAGATAAATGTATATAAAATGTGAGTTTTTTCTAAAGAAAGTTTTGAGTAAAAATATATTGAGTTTTTTCCTTGATGTTTTCCACATTGTTATCAGTGAATATCTGGGAATTAGAGTGTTCAGTCACAAACATGTGCTTACTCACACATTACCAGTACGTTTTAGAAATATCTTTTTCTTATATTTATATGCCATTCAAATCTATGTATTTTATGTATTTGTTCTTTGTGCTATTTTGTACAGTAAATACATCATATGTGTATTTATGTTCCTTTTCTCTACAAAGAATGACAGTTATACTTATGTGGTCTTAACTCTTTGTCTTTACATTTTATTTATTTTGTAACATAAATGCAGTATACTAAAGAAGTACATGTTTCCTTTTACTTGGCTTAGTCTCTATACCGATTGATCGATTGATTCCCTTTTTTTTTTAATCACAGGAATATTTACCAAAAATGAAATTTTTATTGTCTTTCTCCTGTACATGATTTTTCAAAGCAAAATGCATGACATTTAAAAAATGCATTTACTTTTGCCCTTTAAACTGTATCTTGTTCATCACAAAATATGAGGGAGATCAGTACCAGCCTCACCCACTTGTGAAAAATAAATTTAAATCCCAAGTCTATTGGTTACTGAGTGGCATCTTTTCAACATAACAGAACCTATAACAGAGAGCTCTAAAGAGTGGGAGATACTTTTCATTAAGTTCAAAATTGCACTGGAACTTATAATCCCTGAGTTTTTTGCAGTCCCATAATGATTATTTATTCCTGCACTCCTCAAGCGAACGCTGTGTGGATGGATAAATTAGATTTTGAAAAGTTGGAATATTTATGATGCTGAAGGTTTGTGATATATCAGGATCTCTGTTAGAGCTCAGCTTGTGTTGGGGGGGATGAATTCACAAATGTTTACTCTTTTATGTCTTTGTCATGTGTTGAGAAAATGCTGAGAAGCACACACACCCATAAGAGCGCCATAGGCCTGTCGGGAAGTAAAAGTCAGGAACACACAAAATGATAATAAGCCGTATGTGAAATGTGTAATTAAGTTCTAAGTTAGTGAGGTAGCAGTAGAAGTCCAGAAAGAGGTAGAATAAAGAGGACTGGGGTATCCAAGGAGGAAGAAGGAGGTTTATTTCGCTGGTTAAAAAAGTGAGTACGTTTTGGACTTTGAGATGATGAAGGGAGGGCATCCCAGATAACAGCAACTCCATGAAAAGTTACTCTGGTGGTCATTTTTGTCAGTTACAGGGATGTTATGTGTTGTACATGCACTACATCCTTTTAATCACAAAGATGCATTGTAGTCTTTGTGTCTGCATATAGGAACACCTGAGTCCAGATCATTTATAAGGAAAGGAGGTTTATTTTTTGCTCAGTGTTCTGCAGACTGTACAAGAAGTACAGTGCCAACATCTGCTTCTGGTGAAGCCTCAGGAAACGTACAATCATGACGGAAGATGAAGGGAGAAGGGGCATGTCATGTGGGCGAGAACGGAAGCGAGAGAGAGGAGAAGGTGTCAGGCTCTTTTAAACAGCCAGCTCTCACCTGAATAGAACAAGAACTCACTCATTTCACAGAATGGCATTAAGCCATTCCTGAGGGATCCACTCCCATGACCCAGTCACCTCCCACTGGGCTCCACCTCCCACATTGGGGATCACATTTCAGCATGAGATTTGAGAGAATACTCAAGCTATATGACACCTTAAGTTATAAATGGAGTTCTGGGTGGTCTTTTGATAATGGCTTTTGCCTGGAAGAGAAGGGAATTGGGTGACTGATTAGAAGTGTGAGTCAGTGGAAGAGAGGAAGGAGCTATGGACAACTCTCTGACATTTGGCTTTAACGTCAAGGTAGTTGAATATAGGTGACAAGGAGGAGAAGCCAGTGCTGGTAGTGAGGGGGCATGAAATTGGGGTAGTGACTTTTATTTTGGACAGTCTATCTGTAAGGAGTGTGCATGACTTATGTGTTGTCCAGTGGCAGTTGGTTATAATGATTTGGAATTTGAGGGAGAGAGCCCGAGATTATTAAGGAGAGGGCATAAAGTTATAAGATAAAGGGTTTATGTAGACCTCTGGGAAATAATAATAACTGAGGGGCAACAAGAGCTCAGAAAGCCAGTGCACAAGATTGAAAAGGAGTGGTGAGGAAAGACAATTATGAAGTTCCAAGCTGTTCGTGACCTTTACCCGTGTTGGGTTTTCCACCTCATGCTGTTAAGGCTTTAAGAATTTGTTTCTATTTTCTTAATTCTTCTTATTTTTTATTTGTTTATTATAGTTGGAAACTGTGGAGTTGGTGAGCATAATTCCTCCAATCCCACCCATAAGTCCCAGATTTGGGGAAATCCGAAATATTTCTTTACTGGTTACTCCAGCCATTGCAAATGGAGAAATTGGCTTTCTTAGCAATCTTCCAATCATTTTGCATGAACCAGAAGATTCTGCTGCTGAAGTGGTAAGTAGGTTCTTTGTTATCAATGGGACCTAATGAGCTTGAGGTAATGTACAGACACCATTAAAAAAAAGAGAAAGAATTAGCATGTAGAGTTAACAGATCTTAAGAATCTTCATCACTTACACCAAGCCTTTAATATGTAAATGACAGAGGTAAATGATGAGTGTGTGGTTTTTTTCATCATCTTCTGCTGTATTGGATGGAATGAAATTAGGAGTTATTGCTCACGGTGAGAGTAGGGATATTTTTTGATGTGATTGTTTTCAGATAGTGCTATGATTTTTGGCACAGTGATAGCCAAACATAAACTTAAAAAAAAAAAGGCAACTGGTCTCAGTGGCTCAGCCTGTAATCCCACACCTTTCGGAGGCTGAGGTGAGTGGATTGCCTGAGCCTGAGGGTTCGAGACCCGCCTGGGCAGCGAGACCTCATCTCTACAATAAATAAAAAAAATCAGCCGGGTGTGGTAGTGCATGCCTGTAATTCTGGCTACTTGGAAGGCTGACGCGGAAGGATCACCGGAGCCCAGCAGGTTGAGGCTGTGGTGGCCAGG